AGAAGACTTTCATTTCAATGCTTTTCTAAATAAGAAAGTTGGAACTGCGCATGCGCAAACCTAAATTTTAAAACTAATGTTAGATTTTCCTTTGTTCCAAGCGGCTAAGTATCAAATTTCACTTAAATAGTTCCATAGATAAGAAAGTTGGACCTGCGCATGCGCAAACCTAAATTTTAAAACTAATGTTAGATTTTCCTTTATCCCAAGTGCCTATGTATCAAATTCGTTTAAATTCTTCCATAAATAAAAAAGTTGGCACTGCGCATGCGCAAAACCAAATTTTGAAATTGGCGTTTGATTTTCCTTTATTCAAAGTGCCTATGTATCAAATTTCATTCAAATACTTTTATAAGTAAAAAAGTTTGCAATTCGGTTTATAAATGGTCGAGATGCGAAAAGGGCACTGTGAATTTTGAATCGATTCGATTCAACTTTTTGCATTGCGTATTATATGGCTAAAGCTATGCCCATATTGAATTTCATGCAATTCAGTTCATAACTAACGGAGATGTAAAAGCGATCGAACATTTCTAAACAGTTATCGTTCACACGGACAGATAGATGGACAGACAGACAAAGGAACAGACGGAGAGACCAACCGGCAGGCGACAGATAGCAATGCAAAATTATTAACGATCTCTAGGATCGTTAATAAACGGCAAAAGTGTAAAATTATGGAACATGTAAAAAACGGTTTTTTGTTTTTTTTACAATAACTTTTTTTGTAAGCGTTACAGAAAAAATTCCTTCCTTGGTACAAGACTCGACACCATAACGAACCAAATAGCGAAAAAAGTAGAACAATAGCTCTTAAGATAAAAAAACTAGTAGCGTCGCAAAGTTAGCGGACGGACGGACGGACGGACGGACGGACGGACAAAGTGGCCACAATAGCGCATTTTTTTTTTATTTTTGTGGAAATGCGCTAAAAAGTTATCAAAGGTAATCTAATTTTTTTAATAGAACACCCTGTAAATTCTCTTTTCAAAAATATTAGATTAAAAATTTTTTTAAAATCAAATTCTTGAATTTTTTTGGAATCAATTGAGCCGTTTTTTTTAATTTCCTTAAGTCAATCTTTTTGAAGCATTTCTGATTACATATTTTTGGAAAGAGAATTTAATACGTTCTCTTTTTAGATTAAAATATAAATGGTGTTTAAAAAAAAGATTAAGCCCGAAAACTTTTTTCTGACCTCGTATACTTATTTTGGAAACGGTAAAAGTGCCCCTTTTGGGGGGGGGGGGGGTTCCACGCTGCGATTAATTTTAAAAGTCTAAGGGCTGAGATAGCCACCTGATAATAATTTTTTCGAAAAAAATCCTTAAATTTATTAGAAACTGAATTTCTCGAGCCTAATAAAAACCTCACCATGAGTCATGGTATCCCCTGGAATTTAAGGTATGTTGTTGAACCCTCCGCAAGTATTAAAATTGTTACTTGGAAAATTTATTTTTTGTAAGCGCTAGAGCCGTATGTATAACATCTTTTTCAAAAACACAATGTCGCCACGAACCTTTAAGGGACACGGTTGTCATCACTCCACGGGATTACTCTGGGAGTTAGTTATTCGACGCAAAATAATTTTCTGCAAACGTCTATACTACAAAAAGTAGTGGATCAACTTGGATTTCGCATTAAAATCCTTCAGAAGACACCAGTTTTACTGGAATTTACTACTATAAGATTGTGTGTACCACTTCATAGTGAAAAGAGAACGGAACTAAAATGCGATAGAATCAAGCGCTTTCAGATAAGAAGCGAGTGTGCAAACAGATAAGATTCAAAACGCCGATTCTAAAGATCGTTCTTACGAAGCATCAGAGACGAATCTTCCGATATACCCTTTCAGGTATAAAAAACGTGACCGAAGCTTGATTTGCGTCGGATCTGTTTGGGTTTTTGGACTTCGCGACTACATTAGGAAAAAATGGATAACAGAAATTCTTTCCTGAACCATCAAGGCGAACCTATGTAAGTCGTGCGCGACAGTTTACGTAACGTTTATATTCAACTGAAAGTTTCAAGACGAATCCGTATAATCGAGGTATACGGAAGATTACGTTTTATTGCTAAAGTTGAAATTAATTGCCGAATTACCAGGGAAAACTGTACCGCCAATTCGACAAAGTTATTCGGGTGAGCTTAATTCATTGCGAGTTGGCATCACGAGTAAAACTAATATAAAGTGGCCCATTTACGTTTGTTGCATTATTTGATCATCATGATCGTGTTTAAATAAATTTTTACCACGAAAGCGTTGGGGTCAAAAGTGCAGAACGTTTCATTGCGTTTATACTAGTTACGGTGGTTACTTGCGATAAAAAACACGTTTTAAGTATTAACCAAATTTGTGCGCCTCGCGTGTTTCTATGGGACGATAGTAAGATTCTGGATTAAGCGGCAACCGGTAAAAAGTTTAAAGACGATTAATTAGTCGTTTTGCTGGCAGTTAAAACCATAAGCATAAAAGCGAGAAACCTGAAGCCCACTTTGTTCTAGATTTTAATCGTTTTTCAAAATTCACTTTTAACGAGTAGTCCAATTTACCAGTCGATACAAAAGGTCCAATTGTATTGCACAAAACGTTCCAGTATCTAATTTTCCGAATTGCTACTACCTTTCCAGGGGAGAAAATCGACTGTAATTTGGAGAAAACTCAATGACTGATCGATACATTTTTATTCAAAAGTCATTTTGACATTCCTGAAGAGGTCGACCCACGAAAGTTTATTCAATGAACCGATTTGTATATTTTTCATGAATGATAAGCGAACCCAAACAAAAGATTTTGGTTAACATGCGAGCGAAATAGGATAGGACCGTGTCAATGTTGAACAAAAAGTCAACGTTTCATCCACTTGTTTAAGGAGCTTCCCGCTTCATCAGGACAAGAAACAAATTAACAATCAAAAATACAAATAGAGTAGATGGCTAAACCTAGCTATTGAAACCTATTCCGTGAGGAGAAATTAGAGAAAGTGATACATCATCCTTATCTTTCTACAAGCGTTCTTCTATGGGGCCGCAATTGCTGCCCGCCAGCCAGCCAAAGTGAGATTAAAGGTTACCTTTTTACAAATAAATTTGCAAGAATGACCTAAGAACCATTTTTTCAATATTGGATGAGGATTTTGGCACGAAACACATTTCTAAAGAATCGCAAATACTGTCTGTAAGATAAATAAAAAAAATAAATCAAAAAACCATCGGATATCCCTATTTATTTCAAAAGGATCTCCTTATAGATTTTGACCTAACAGTATTCCATATTTTAAGGTTGAGCAACATACATTAAAAGTTCTATGGCCGTTTGCACCGACAAATTTAAGTGTAACTTAGCTTAAGCGTAGCTTAAAATCCATGGCAACCATTGTCTCAATAATCGTTGCCATGGATTTTAAGCTACGCTTAAGCTAAGCTCCACTTAAATTTGTCGGTGCAAACGGCCACTAGACATAAATTGATAAAAAAGCAAAGGGTTATAGAGTATAGTCTCAAGATCGGATGAGCCAGATCTTTCCTGTAGAATCAAAAACACAAAAAGTAAAAAAAAAACAGGTCGCTATGAATTAGCCTTTCCAAATCCATCAAAGTCTGGTCACAGATCGACCGGAAAAGGGTTTTTTCTTGTAGATTATCAAACCAACTTTTCAAAATTTGACAACTACTTCAAACAACACCGACCTACACAAAGAAAAACAAAGAGATCCTTACCTTTTTAAAGTTCATTCAAAGGCGACTTGTCTTAGATTGACCCAGAAAGAGATTTTGGCCTCTAGATCCAATCTGGTCATATTTTTGCAGATTGAAGTTGAGAACTCTACTGAAAGTTTACAGAAAACTGAAATTTACAGACTAAAACTTTCGTAAGGTTAGTAAACGTTCTTTTGGTACCTATCAATTCCAATTTGAGATAGATATTTTCCAATTTATGACAAACAAGAAATAGGACAATATAAATAATTAATCAAAAATAGGTGTAAACATTAAAAATAATTCACGTGGCCATTTTTTAAATTGCAATTTCTAAAGGTAGGTATTCAAGCAAGCTGTTAAATATAATTTGGGGTCCCGAAAATTGTTACATACGAACTGCGGTTTTACGCGAAACTTGTGCCTCGTTAAATAAAAATAAAGCTAGAATTATTTATAAACGACATAAAAAAGTTTTAAATATAAATTTGGACTATCCTTTGGTATGTTTCCGATGATTGCAAGACGCGAAGAACTGAGGAGATTCTCTCTATGAATGAAGTTTAAAAATTCAATCAACGACAACGCGCCAGTGAATTTTTAAATATTTCAGACATAGATTTAAAAGATAAATTTAAGTGGCGTGATTCACAGTTACAGAAGTCCAGGTATTTCCGGTGTTACAAAAGTGAGTTTAATTTTGTTCTGGCGACGCCAAGAATATAAACCTTTTAAAACGTGTCCCAGAGAATTTTCTTGTCGAATCCGCGACGCTAAAATTATTTAAAATTTAGCCGCAGTATTTCAGATCTGCTAAATTTTTACCCGCATCCTGTGTTTTCGGTTCGAGGCATTGCGCCAGACGAGTACATAATGTTGTATAATGAAGATGCTAATAAGTGTTATAAACCAAAATTCACGTGACCGCTTGTCCTTTCGTGACG